CCCGCAGCTTCACGGAATCCACTTGCCTCGGCCTCCCAAAGTGCTGGGATTACAGGCTGAGCCACTGAGCCTGGCCTACTTATTTATTTATTTATTTATTTATTTTTGAGTTGGAGTCTCACTCTGGAGTGCAGTGGCTGCTCCCGGCCACCGCAGCCTCATCTGCTGGGCTCCAGCGATCCTTCCGTCTCAGCCTTCCGAGTAGCTGGAATTACAGGCGTGTGCTACCACACCCAGCTAATTTTTTTTTTTTTGTAGAGGTGAGATCTCACCAAGTTGTCCAGCTGGGTCTCGAACCCGCGGGCTCAGGCAATCCACTCACCTTAGCCTCCCAAAGGCGCGGGACTACAGGCTGAGCCACCGAACCCGGCTCTTATTTATTTTTTTAAGAGGGGAGGTCTCCCTATGTTGCCCAGGCTGTTCTCAAACTTCTGGGTTCAAGCAATCATACTTTCTTGGCCTTCCAAAGTGCTTGGATTATATGCCTGGCCTATCTTAATCATTTTTAAGTGTACAGCTCAGTAGTAGTGTTAAATATACTTGCATTGTTGTGCAACAGATCTCCAAAACTTCATTTTGCAAAACTGAAACTCTATACCCACTAAACAACTCCCTATTCCCCCTCTGCCTAGCCCTGGCAACCAACCAACTTTAGTCATTTTCTATGACTTTGACTACATTGGATACCTGATGTAAGTGGCATCATATACTATTTGTCCTTTTATGAGTGGCTTATTTCACTTATCATACTTTCCTTCTTAAGGTTCATCCATGTGACAGGACTTTCTTATTTTTTGAGAACGTATAATATTCCATCATATGTATATACCACATTTTCTTTACTCATTCATCTGTGGATATTTTGTTTGTTCTTGGCTACTGTGAATAATGCTGTGATGAACATGGGTGTGCAAGTATCTCTTTGAAATTCTACTTTCAGTCATTTTGGATTTATACTCAGGAGTGGGACTGCTGAATCATACTGAATTCCCTTTTTAATTTTTTTGAGGAACTTCCATACTTTTTTCCATAATGGCCACACCATTTCACATTCTCAACAGTGCACAAAGGTTCCAATATCTCTGCTTCCTTGGCAATACTAATTTTCTGTATTTTTGATAGTGTCCTTCCTAATGGGTGTGAGGTGATATCTGTGATTTGCATTTCTCTTATTAGTATTAAGCACTTTTTAATATGCTTGTTGGCCATTTGTATATCCTTTTTGGATAATAATCTATTCAAGTTCTTTACCAATTTTTAAACTGGGTTATTTGTATTCTTATTATTGAGTTGTAAGAATTCTTTATATATTCTTAATTCAGGTAGCTTATTAGATATGTGATTTGTACATTTTTTTCCAGTGTATAACTTTTTTTAAAATGTTGTCTTTTAAAGTACAGAAGTTTTAAAATTTTGACAAATTCTAATTTATTTCTTTTTCTTTTGTGGATTGTACTTTTTTTTTTTGAGTTGGAGTCTCACTCTGTTGCCCGGACTGGAGTGCAGTGGCCGCTCCTGGCCACTGCAGCCTCGACCTGCTGGGCTCCAGTGATCCTTCCACCTCAGCCTTCCAAGTAGCCGGAATTACGGTTATGCGCTACTATGCCCAGCTGATTTTCTGATTTACTGTAGAGGCGAGGTCTTGCTGTCCAGGTGGGTCTCAAACCCGCGGGCTCAGGCAATCCACTCACCTCAGTCTCCCAAAGGCACGGGATTACAGGCTGAGCCACGGAGCCTGGCAGATTGTACTTTTGTATTATATCTAAGAACTCTGCCCAACCCAAAAACACAAAGATTTTTCTCCTATGTTTTTCTCCTAAAAGTTTTATATTTTAGTTCTTACATTTAGATCTGTAATCCATTTTGAGTTAATCTTTTTTTTTTGAGTTTGAGTCTCACTGTCACCCAGACTGGAGTGCAATGGCCGCTCCCGGCCACCACAGCCTACACCTGCTGGGCTCCGGCGACTCTTCCACCTCAGCCTTCCGAGTAGCTGGAACTACAGGCGCGCCCTACCACGCCTAGCTAATTTTTGATTTATTATAGAGATGAGGTCTCGTCAAGTTGCCCAGGCGGGTCTCGAACCCGCAGACTCAGGCAATCCACTCACCTCGGCCTCCCAAAGTGCTGGGATTACAGGCTGAGCCACTGAGCCCGGCTTTGAGTTAATTTTTGTATATAGTGTGAGGTAGAGGTTCAAATTCATCTTTTGGCAAGGATATCTAGTTGTGCCAGCACACTTTGTTGACAAGACTGTCTTTCCACCACTAAATTGCCTTGGTTCACTTGCCAAAAATCAATTGCTTGCAATTCCAGTACTTTGGGAGGATGAGATGGGAGTATCACTTGAGGCTAGGAGTTAAAGACTACACTGAGCATCAAAACAAGACCATTGCTACAAAAAAATTAAAAAGTTAGCTGGGTATAGTGGCTCACAACTATAGTCTTAACTACTCAGGAAGCTTGGGCTGGAGGATAGCTTAAGCTCAGGAGTTTGAGGCTGCGGTGAGCTATGATAGCACCACTGCACAATCTGGGCCAACAGAACGAGCCCCTGGCTCTGCAAAAAATAATAATTAAAAAAAAATTGCTCATAGATGCATGGGTTTATTTCTGAAATTTCAATTCTATTCCTCTGATCCGTATGTCTGCTCTTATGCCAGCACGATACTGTCTTGATTACTCTAGCTTTGTAGTCAGTTTTGAAATCAAGGAGTATAAGTCCTCCAACCTTGTTATTCTTCACGGCTGTTTTGGCTGTTCAGGGTCCTTTGCATTTCTTTTTTTTTTTGAGTTGGAGTCTCACTCTGTCGCCCAGACTGGAGTGCAGTGGCCGCTCCCGGCCGCCGCAGCCTCGGCCTGCTGGCTCCGGCGATCCTCCTGCCTCAGTCTTCCGAGTAGCCGGAATTACAGGCGTGTGCTACCACGCCCGGCTGATTTTTTGATTTATTGTAGAGATGAGGTCTCGCTGCCCAGGCGGGTCTCGAACCTGCGGGCTCAGGCAATCCACTCACCTCAGCCTCCCAAAGGCGCGGGATGATAGGCTGAGCCACCGAGCCCGGCTGGTCTTTTGCATTTCTAAAGCCTGCTGGGATCTTGACAGGAATTCTGTTGCATCTATAGATCAACTTGAGGAAAAACTGGTATTTTGCTACTTAAACTAGGAAGAAAAAAATACTTGTCTCACTGAGGTGCTCTGTCTATGCATCAAAAATGTTTCAGAAAAGACAATATTTGGCTGGGTGTGATGGCTCATGCCTCTAATCCCAGCACTTTGGGAGGCCAAGGTGAGAGGATCACTTGAGCCTAGGAGGTTGAGACCAACCTGGGTAACACAGTGAGAACTTGCACTATATTAACCCTTTGCACTCAGGTGTGCTCTTTGAGGGGACACTGTAAATCTAGCAAACCACTTGGATGTCCCCTTTCAGGGGATATAAACAGATTGCTGGTGACTATACAGGACAAACTTATGCCAGTGCAAATTTTTCAAAAACATATGTTTCCTTGAAGTTTTCCACTCAAAAACAACGAAAAACCTAAGTCCCATTTGAAATTTGTCAAGCTTCTGCTTGATCAGTTGAGAAGTGGTTTTCAGAAATCACGAGTGTATCCTTTTACATCATCTTCGAACAACAAAGTGGACAAGAAATTACATATTATTAATATGGGAGGAAGAAAATGAGACTAAATTGTCTGTTAGAATAGAAAAACACTAGGTGGAAGACATCAAACAAATTACTATAACACAACATGTATCAATGAACCTGCAATGCATGTTGGTGACTGTTTCACATGTTACCACATGTTAAAAAAATATAAGGCCAGGTGCAGTGGCTCGGCCTGTAATCCCAGCGCTTTGGGAGGCTGAGGTGAGAGTACTGTTTGAGTACACAAGTTTGAGAACAGCCTAGGTAACTTGGCAAGATCTCATCTCTACAATAAATCAAAAAATTAGCTGGGCATGGTACTGTGCGTCTATAGTTCCGGATACTTGAAAGGCTGAGGCAGAAGGATCACAGGAGCCCAGCACGTGGACACTGGGGTGAGCATGCCACTGCACTCCAGTCTGGGCGATGGAGTGAGACTCCAACTCAAAAAAATAAATAAATAAAAGTAAGATATAAAATTCTGATTTTTTCATCATAAATAAGTTCTTCAATGTTATGTCCAAAATTCCATTATAAGCCAAGTAACATTTCAATTAAAAAAATTGGTTCCAACGCTATACTATTTAATATGAAGTGATTTATTTTTCACTATTTTGTAAAAATGTGCACTCGAATTGCTGGTAGGTGATCTGTGAGATGTCTCCAAGTGCAAAGTGCTATAAAAAGAGAAGAAAACATCCAAGAAGTATATGAAATAACCCATGCAATATTGGTGTTTTTTTTTGAGTCCTCATCCTTTAGAAATATATACAGTACTGAAATACTTATGAATGAAGCAGGATGTTGTTTGAGATTTAATTCCATATAATCTGGATTGAGGGAGTTAAACCTAAACAAGACTGCCCAGGTGTTGATCATTACCAAAGCTAAGCAATAGGCAGAGAAGCGGGGAATCCATGGTATTAGTTGCGTATATGTTTGAAAAATTTCATAATAAAAACATCAAACAAAACAGTAATCTAGTGTCAAGTCATGGCATTATCCTCAGATTTTTTTTTCTAGAATAAACATGATGGTCTAAAATAATCTTCTAATAAGACTCACAAAAAAATAAAAAACTAGCTGGGTTGTTGGTGTGTACCTGTAATCCTAGCTACTTAGGAGACTGAGGTGGGAGAATCACTTGAGCCCAGGTGTTTGAGGCTACAGTGAGCTATGATTGCACCACTGCACTCCAGAGTGGGATGGATGGATGGATGAGAGAGAGAGAGAGAGAGAGAGAGAGAGAGAGAGAGAGAGAGAGAGAGAGAGAGAGAGAGAGAGAGAGAGAGAAAGAAAGAAAGAAAGAAAGAAAGGACTTACAAATTCACCATTCTGTAACATACTCACCAGTAATTGCCCCATTCAATCATGGTTCCTGGCTGAAAAGAGATTTAGATTTTGGTTTGTAAGCTCTTCTGTGAAAAAATATGGAAACAGCAGTATGAAAAATATCAAATAACAAAACTAACTTTTAAAAAACTAATTTTTTAATGTGGAATATAACAAATTAAAAAATGTGACAAATTATTATTATTCACTGTGTTCTTATCCCATAGTGGAATAAATATTTTATAGTTTCACGCAAGAAGATAACATATTCATAATGTAAAAGTAAGTCATCAATTTGTGTTATCAAAACTATAGTAAGGCTCATCTCAGAGGCGCTGAAGTCATGATTAAACTGTGGGTGCCCATTCAAACTTTATTAGAAAATTTTAAGAAATATGATTTGAAAAAATTCAATCCTGTTAAACTTAACAAGGATATCACTTCCTTTTTTTCCAGCATAAAAGTGATTATAGACCTCTGAGATCTATTGATATGCATTCCTTTTAATGATGCCATTTGGAGCTTTCTTTCTAGTACTCCCTTAGTAGGGAAACATCCTAGAAAGTATTATAGATCATTATTCCCTTTTTACTCTTTTAGTGTTGTATAATTTGTTCAACAGTCACAATGTTTATTAGATGTTCTTGTTCAACTACAATAGATGTTATATACTGTACTATTTTCAGTCTTTTTCCTTAAAAATAGAAATGCTATTTGGAAAAGTATCAAATAATAGCATTATGCATAAGGTCATAAAAAGTAAAAGAACTTAGCAGAAGAGAGGGAAATGAGGAAGTAAACAGGATAGGAGAAAGACTGGACAAGGAAGAAAACAAGTCAAACAAAAATACAAAGCTAAACACGTATCACAGAATGTATGCTCAAGTTTTGCTGTCAGCATTAGGAAGTTGTTGTGCTTCTTCAGAGAAGAACAAAAGGACTAACTTGTATTTCTGTACTTACTCGGAGTTGGTAAGACCTTAGTTCATATATATTAGGTCCTGACCGTGGGACAGGCTCATTCCAGAAACTGAACTCCAGCAGCAGCTGATTCTTTCTAGAGAGAAGCATGTCACTTCTTGCCTTACGGAATTCCAAAAATTCCTTTGAATGAAAAAAACATGCTCATGAAATCTTCTAATACTTGTATGTAAGCCCATTTTAGTAACATTTATATTGCTACAGAATGGTATGATAAAAAAAGGGCACTCAACAGATCCCAGCTGGTCTGAGACAGTCCCAGTTTACATCTGTTGAACTGATACAATGATGAAGAGCATTCCTTTCCCTTCTCAAGTGTCCAGGTTTAGATGACAAGTTATATGGCTATCCTAATTATTTAAATAACAGTGCAAACAAATTTAATTTTCTACATTTTTAGATTCTCCTAGTAGTGTCTGATGATGTTTCAGTGGAGGTGACAAGGAGGCTACAAAATAGCAGATACTCCAAAAATCCTTTCTATTTGTCTGGAAATCCACACAAAAGATTTTCTTTCTTAATAATGTGTGGCCGTAAAAATCCTCTCTACTAACATGCACTTGTTAGTGAAAGGAGGAGTAGGATAGCAAAGTCAGCCCAAGATAAAGAATGTGTATGTGGCTGTCAGTTCCTTAAGTCAATTATGTCAGGTCATCTGGCGCTAACTGTGTCTACCGTGCTGATCTACCAGTTTCAAAGTACAACTGACTTTTACGATAAGAACTGTTATTTTAATAGTACTGTAATTGGTTACTTTATGCTTAAACACAACTTCAGGAGTCCAAAAAATAAAATTTCTACTACAAAAGTGAATAGTTTACTAACAAACACTGATGACAGAAAAGAGTCATTTAATTCTGTACTAACATCTACTTTATCATTAGTTTGAATAAGTAAACATTTAACAAAATGATTACCTGATTTTCTCTGAGTTTATTCATGACTTCTGTAAGGGCTGGATAACCTCCTTCATACCTCCAAAGGTGGACTGAAATGCATTTTAAAAGATAGTATTCATTTAGAGTTTCATGGTATTTTTATCTTGAAAATATTCTAGATTGCATTATGTTAATATAGTACAAAGCTGAATATGCCATGTGTTGCCCAATGAGTTACATCATAAAGTTTCAGTAATAGATCTGAATAATTTAAAGCTGGGCTCGGTGGCTCAGCCTGTAATCCCGTGCTTTGGGAGGCTGAGGTGAGTGAATTGCCTGAGTCCACGGGTTCGAGACCCGCCTGGGCAACTTGGCGAGACCTCATCTCTACAATAATCAAAAAACTAGCCGGGCGTGGTAGCGCGCGACTGTAGTTCCAGCTCTTTGGAAGGCTGAGGCGGAAGGATTGCCGGAGCCCAGCAGGTCGAGGCTGCGGTGGCCGGGAGCGGCCACTGCACTCCAGTCTGGGTGACAGAGTAAGACTCCAACACATACACACACACAAAATTTAAAAAATAGTTTTCCAAAGAATTACTGAAGGTATTACCTTAACCATAAAACTAGACAAAGACCTGGAAAGCATTGATTATAAAAATAAACATTAAATTAGAAAATTACTTAAGTGTTACAGCAAAGCTTAAGGAAGAAGCATTTATTGCAAAGACTTCTGCTTCCTACCAGCTTGATCCTGCTCGCCATACCACGTGTTCCAAGTCCCCACCAAAGTACAGGGGTAATGTTTATCTTCATGAATCTTTGGCAACACCTCTTGACTTAAAGAGAAGAAACAGCAACACAAATTAAACAACAAACAAAATTTTACCAGGTAGATAACACATGATCGGTAGCAGGCAAAAGACCACCTACTATGTGTTCTCAGAACATATTTATGATAAAATGCCGTGCAGAATTAACGTTTTAGTTGAATTCTATTGTATTCCAACACCCACTAATTGGAAGCTTAGGTTTCTGATACCCCAACTATCCAGAAGTGTTGTAAGCAACTCAAGAATAATGATAAAAATGATAAAGAAGGGCCAAAGGTTCCAAAATTTCAGGATCTATGGGTTTACTATTTCAGGAAAAAACAAAACACTTAGTAATGCGATGTTTATAAAAGCTAAGTTCTGCTGGTTCCAAAGACAGGAAGAACGAGAGACATGGGAATAGAAAAGATTATGGAAGAAATAAGAGCGATGGAAAGGAAAGGAAGTAATGTCTAAGACAAAGGCAGACAACAGAAGCGGCACCAGCAGACAGAGGTAACAGGAGCAGAGAACACGGTGGCCTTAAGGAAGAAGACAGAGTTAGAACACAACACAGTCTGGAAGCAACCCCAACCTCCAACAGTCCCAAAGAGCATCAATATGACAGAAGAATCAAAATTAAAGATACAACATGAAGCATAAATTAAGTTCTACTCAATATGACCAGCAGAGGGGATGTGAGAGGTTTCACAGTCTCATACTGAACACACCAAACAATTCATTCCCACTGACTGTGCAGAAGCAGTGGCAAAGCCATGGCAGTTCATGGCAGTGTATTAATTTAACAAAGGTGTCAGAGCAGAGCTTGGTTCCATGGAAACCTTTCTATGGTATGGATCTAAGGTGCAGGGACAGGCAAAGGGAAGAGGCATAACTGTTTCATACCAAGAGAAAAGCTAAAACCCACATACCTTTTGGATAGAAAAATTATGATGAAAAAGTACAGTACAGATTCAATAATGGATGCAAAAGAATATAGAGTTAGAAACTGAACCTATTCAAATTATTTGCTAACAATAAGTGATACTAAGCTAGTGATCATCACTAGATGTTGGCACTACAGGACTTGGTGTATATGACTAGTTAACAGAAAACAGTTACAAACAGCCTAGATCTAACTAAATAAAAACCAATAGGGCTTTATGGCTCAGTATAATGACCACATCAAGTGCATTTTCTGAAAGGTGGCATTTACTTTTTAACTCAGGATCTGATATTAAATGTATCTAATGCATAACCTATGAATGCTCAGAAAGAACAGGGGATTGATGAAATTAGAATGGGGAAAGATGGATTATGTTAGGGAAATAGGTAGGTTTCCACTGTGACACATGATGTGAGCAGGAAGTAAATAACTCGAGCTGGAGTCAGTACAGAGGAAGGCAGGCAGTATAGATGACCCAGTTAGGGTCCAGAAGGGGGTTGAGGACCTGACAATGGAGCATAGGCTTTTTGTTCCCCAATACAAAGTCACATATGGATTTGTAGCGAATGCACTTTGCTAGGGACCCCAAACCTGCTCTTGGGAGCCCAGCCTTACCTGAATGGAGGTTGTAAGGCAGGCAGTACTTGTACCCAGAACTGGATGGGTTGGGCAGAATCTCATTATTGGGACCCCTAAAAACCAGGCAGGAGTTAAGTCTTTATGTTCTGGAAACAGGGAGCTGCTGAAAGTTTCAGAGAAAAGAAAAAACATGATGAAGGAAAAAACAGAACTCAAGCAGATCAATTTCACAAACTTTTAGATAATGTGCTACAGGGGGTGGAGTGGAGCTACAGGTATAGCTTTGATCCCAGAAAGGTAGTCAGAAAGGAGGTTACTTGGGAATGGGGCTTGACAGGCTTGGAGAGGGAGATGGAGAAGGAAACAAGCAAAGAAAACCAAAATACACGTCAAATGAGGAACGCACAGCCCTAGATGACTGACTAATCAAAAAGAACTAAGGAAAGGATTAAGAAAAACATGGCGAGTGACACAGACAGGGAAGTTGGAAGAGCAAGGGGATTCCATACGCTGAGTTTGAAGTGAGAGCAAGACATCCAAATAGAAATATGAACAGACAGCCAGAAACCTGAGACAGGACATGAACTGATAAAAACAGGATAGAAAAGATAATCCAAGGAAACAACAATACAGAGAAAAATCTTCATTTTATGAGAAAAGATTTAGAAATAATCATCTGCTTTGTTCTAGGGCATATTGTAATAAAGAAAAATGTATTGAGGTAAGCAAGAAATTCAATACTAATGTTACATTTCACAAACCACCTCAAAAAATAAAATAGAACAGGTTTTTGCTTCTAAAAATTATGCTGACTATGGAGACAAAATTGTTTCTCATGTAAGTAGTAGATATTAAAGGTTTTAAAAACTTTTTTCATTGCATTTGCTCACAACTGATCATTAAATACTATCTCTGTTAATTAAGAACTGCTGAGCTTAATTCTCCCTTTAGTCTTAAAAGTTTACAAATTCTATAAGAGTGTGTGGATCTCACATCATATGAGAATCAGCTGAAGGGATTTGGATCCTGGAGAATAGACGACTTATGAAGAAATGGCAGCTGTATTCAAATACATACAGGACTTTCACGGGGCAGTTTTATTTAGGAGAAACAATGAAGGACACAGACATGAGCTCTAATTCCTAATACTCAAAGCTATCCAGAGATGGAACTTATTTCAGCACAGGCACTCAGGAAGGTCTATAGAAAGGATTTAAGCACTGGATGAGTAGATGGACTAGATGACCTTGCAAGGTTCCTTTCAACTATAAGAGTCTGGTAACATCCTAAAGTCTGACAGATTATGTGATGATTTAGCTGTGTGCATTCTTGAAATCAAAATGCCTCAGGCAATACCACAAAGAGCTCAGTTTAAGAGCCTCTGAATACTCAGCTTGAAGGGAGAGGAATGAAAGATCTCACTCTCTGCTATCAAGTGTTAGTTGAACTAATAATAAAATCATTCTTTTTCCCCAAGTAAAGTATAGTTTGGTATACACACCAAATTTTGTTGTATGCTTCTAGGCATTCCGGTTTAACATTGTGAACTGAAACAAAAGAAAATTCAATGATAAACTTATGAACAGAGAAACAAAAGTCAACTACGAAGATAGCAAACCTATCACTCACACTGTAATTTGTACAGACTGCTTGTTTCCTTTTTGGCTAGGAGATTAGAGTGAGCATCTTTTCTTGGATCAACTTTCCGGACAAATAAGGATTTTAACCAGCTGTCTTCTCGAGGTCTATTACCAGAAGATGTCAATCTCCTATGAAATAACAAAGATAGTGTCATATAGTATACTGTTTTCATAAATTCATCAATTCATTTGGCAAATTTGCATTGAGTACCTATTCTAGGCTCTGTTCCGGAACCTGGGATACTACAAGAAGTCTGCTTTCCATTATGACAGCATGTATTCTAAACATCAGAACAGAGAAAAATGTAAAAGTAACAAATGACACTCCTCTGTTTATCTTCAACATTTATGTTGTCTTTCCCTCCTCTAAAGTAATTTTTTACATAGAATAAATATATATGGATACTTAGAGTAGTCAAACTTACAGAGACAGAAAGTAGATGGTGGTTGTGGGGGAAGTGGAAGAGGGAGAAGAGAGCAGACGGGGGAATTGGAGTTATTGTTTAATGGGTAAATAAAAAAATTCTGAAGATGGATGGCAGTGTTGATTATCAACAATGTGAATATACTTAATATCACTGAACTGCACTTAAAACTAGCTAAAATGGTAAATTTTATGTTATATATATTTATTTATAAAAATTTAAATATTTCTATATTTATATTTCATATATATATTTTTTGAGTTGGAGTCTCACTCTGTCATCCAGGCTGGAATGCAGTGGCACACTCACGGCCACCCCAGTGTTGACCTGCTGGGCTCCAGCAATCATTCTGCCTCAGCCTTCCAAGTAGCTGGAACTACAGGC